CCCTCCTCTCTCCCGCCCCGTCCTCTGCGCTCCGAAATCCGCCCATGGCCCCCCACCCCCTGCACCTTGCTCGTCCCCGAGAGCTCCCCCCGCCAACGCCGCCTGGAAGCGGGGCGGGAAATGCTACAAACCGGGTAGGGGGGAGATGGGGGGGGCACGGAGACCGTAGTGAGTTTTTATCTGTGTTTATCAATGGGAAACCGGTGGAAAACTAGCGCAGAGATTACCAAGACAAAGTGTCAGGTAGCCCTGTACAAGAAATCAGGCATCCTTCTCGCTGCAGGATTTTCCCGTTCCCTGCACACTATGTGCACTTTTGTTAATCGGTATTAAAATGATGATGACGATAATACCTGAAAAATCTGCTTATTGTTGCAGATGGGCCAGAAAGCTAGGGGAGAGCTTTTGCGTAATTAATTGCTCGAGTTGTTTCAGAAACACTGCTGCTAACTTTAGTGGGCTTGCGGACAGAAACAGCCCTTGGATAAAGCCTGTCCTTTCCTTGCTCGTCCTTTACCCGAGCTCCGTATTCGTGTTCTGGAGGTGGGGGGTGGCAGTGTTATTTGTTTGTTTTAAAAGAGATTAATGCTGTGGTTTTAATACAAACGTGAACCTGTCTTCAGAAGTTGACATCACTGAGGAATCAGCCAATTGGTTGACGTTTAACCAACCTTCTTTTTACACATAAACCCCATCAAAGAGTTGTTTACACTAATGTTCTTTTGAAATGCAAATCCAGAATGCCAACAGACTGAAACTCAATTTAGATTAATGTAATTACCTGCAATACACAAATGAGGCTATACTATTTAATAGCCTTCACTTAAACCTTTTTAGAAGATCAAAAGGACTCCTATTGTTGAAGTTTAGTACTACAACAATTAAAAGATGCTTCTGTGTGATTTTCGTGTTACCTTTTAACTTCGTAGAAGCTTAGGGGTTTGCTTCAGTACTCTGAGATAAAAATGTCTGAAATAATTACAATTCAAATCGAAAAAGTATAACAACTTTGTGACGCATCAGATGCCCATCTCATAGGGAGGTTTTTGCTGGTTTTTTAGAAAATTATTTTCCTTTGGAAAAATAATTGTTTCTCTTCTTGTTTTAGGCTTTAAAGAAATCAATGCTCCAACTATTACCCCACCTCTTAATCAGCCCAAAAGATCAAAAAAACGCCATGCAAATTTAACGTTGGATAAAATGATGGAAAAATTCCTGCAGCAGAGTGTGGATACAGAAGAGAAATTTTACAGATACGAAGAGCAGAGGCTCAAAATCGAGGACAAGCGTCGGGAAGCTGAGCATGCTCGAGAGCTCCAGATGTTACAGATGTTGGGACAGATGTTGGCAGGAATTTCTTCTACGGTATCGCAAAGGTCACAATCTATACCAGCAAGTCCACCTCAGAGAGCGAACCATCGTTCGTATGGGGATAACTTTAATTATAATGCTATGACAGCAGCACTTTCTCCACCGATAGGTACTTCTTTCTATAGCTTAAATAAAAGCTAGTTTTTTTTAACACTTCTGTGTGAAAGCACTGGTAGTAAGTAGCTTTTGAAAATAAAAGCTAATTGGAATTATTTAATACTGTGGTGAAGGTGTCTGTCTGATGTAAAATGAAATTAAAACATCATTTGTGCCATTGTACTGATTATCTAACATAGCTACTTTAGTTGTAACAAAATTTAATGAGCGAAATCACACCTTTCGAACCCTGTAAACATTGGGGACTTCTTTCCACATTCACATCTCTGTAAAGTGAAGTTAGGAGAAGTTTTATATGTAAAGAGGAAGGTAGCACGTTTGCTGAAAGCTGTCTGGAAACATTAGGTACCTTGAAGCAGAAATTCTGCTGCTGTTGGAAGTTAACAGGCCTAACCCAGTTGTGAAGTTAAGGCTGTGCATAAGAGTGGAGTTTTGCCTACACTGAATTAAGTCAAATGTCAAAATCCAGCTTCTTTAAAATAAATCTCTTTAAATCAAAATTCTGAATCTTATATTGTAATTAAACATCATATTACTGTAGTAGGTGTAACAGAAGATGAAAGTATCAGCATATATTTTTCTTCTATACCAGTTCATTTATAAATTCTTTGGGCGTCTAAATTTATTTTAAAGAAAAAGACAAAGCAATAACTCTGGAATTGGTATTTATGCACAGTCTTTTGCTTCCATACCTTACATGTGGGCCAGAAGCTGATAATCGGCTATTAGTATTCATTAACGGACTTCTTGGGATCTGCGGCTCTGTGTCTTTTATCTTTAGCATAGTCTCTTTGCACATGGAGGTAGGCTGCATGGGCAGGAGGGAAACAGGGGTACTCTATCAGTGCTGAAACCAGAGTCAGCTTGGGGCTCGATGGTTGTAGCCTGCTGCGTGGAAACGAAACAAGCCTCGTTCTGTTTTAATTCTGAATTTCACAGTGCTCAGAAGGAGAAAGCGTGGTTTGAAAAGGGGAAAAACAAAACAAACAAACACCCAGCCTCAGTGTTGAATAATAATTTGGCATGTTGGATTCTAAAGGGCATTCTCCAATTCCTCAGAGGATCTCAGAGCCTTTTCAGTTTGAAGTTACATACTGCATTTCCTTGTAAAATGCACGGGGGACGGGATGGTTAGCCCTGTTGAGGGCTTAGGCTGGCTGACTAGATTGTGTTTCTTGACTGGATAGTTGGTCTGTAGCATTCCTTGGTGGGAACAGACTTTCATAGATAAATTATGGTGTATGTATGGATTCTGTTTAAATGTTGTTTTCACTTTTAAATTAAAAGGAAACCTGAAGTGCTTTAGAAAAGCCCTTAGGAAATCATTTTTGGTTCTAGACTGGGGTGATGGTACCTACAAGGCCTTACCATTACTGCTGAAAGGATTTTTGCTGAAAGAGTTTCATTATCTATAACAACTTGAAACTAAAGTTTGTTTTTTCTTGCTGGATTTTGTCATATATGGGTGTACAATCATATTACACTGCAGAAATGCTTTATATATATTTAACTGTAGCAACAGCAACTCGGGAGTCTAATCTTAATTGGTGAAGGAGTAACAAAGCATTTCTATAATAAAAGGTGAAAAAACACTTCAGGCAGCACATCTTTTAAGGAATTAAAGTTTCAGGTATTTATGCCTCAGTGTTTTTGTAAGAAAATGGGGCTCTATTAAGAATTGCTCTTTGCATAATTCTCTGTTTTCTCCCGGTTTATTATGCAATCGCTGTATATTTACATATAAACAAAAAAAGCAACAAAGAAATGGGACCTTCTTAACAACATTGGGCTTTAAGTTAGAAGCTATATGATAAGTGAATTTCTTGTGTGGCTGAAAACTAGTGAGTGTATGAAGTGTGATTTAAAGAAAATAATCTGCCCTATTTCCAGAGGAGATGAGCATTTTGTTCCCCTCTGGGTCACTGCAGTGCTATTTTGGCCATAATCCAAAACAGGGTGTTTTTTTCTTTTTCCTTTCTTTTCTTTGTGGTTTTTTTTGTTGTTGATTTGTTGGTTTTTTTCTTAATCTCAATAGAAATGGGATGCCTGTATTATAGAAGAATTTTAAAAGCAAAAGATCAGCCAGGAGTATTTGTCATTATTGAACACTAAAGTGTTTTATTACTGAAGATTAGTGTGTCTGATTTAGGTTTAGATTCTGTGGAAGATGCAGAAAAAGTAAAAGATGCTTTCTGCTGGTAGCACGTGGATGTGGAGTTGTCTTTTTTATTACATTTTTTCCCCCATTATTATGTCCAAATTTCTGTAATAGTTTTCCTCTTTTTTTTTTTCCCCGTCTTTTTTTTTTTTTCCCCACCCTCCCCTCTTTTGGAATCGGGGGTGGGGTTACTACATTTTACACAGCTGAAATTAAGGAGTATCAAGGGAGTTATTTTTTTTTACATAATTATGTAGTACTATATAGCACTTCCTTGAAAGCTTCCTAGAAGAGAAAGAGATTTGTAAAAGAGAAAGAAAGCATTGCTATGGTCTAGGAGGCTAATATTAACATTCAAATAAACCGTTCTGAACAGAATCATACAGTTAATGAGGAGCTTTGTTGAAATATAAGAACTTAACTCTTTTAGTGTATTTACTGCACTTTATAGTTAATACATAGTTAATTAGGAGTACTGATCTTCAGATTTGTCGCATGTTAGGTAAATGGTTTAATTCTCTTTAGTTGTAATTGTTGAAATAATTTTTTCTTCTTAATTTTTGTAGTCTTTTGAAACAGTGATTTGAATATGTAGCCTTCTTAGTGTGCAGTTATTTTAAAATGTAGCTTGACGTGTAGCTTTGCATTGGAGATTTGTAGTTGTATTATAGCTAACAGTTATCTTTGTGTGATATTTGTAATGTTTCCATCTAGTGTGTTGGATTATAGTTTTGCAGAAAGACTTTCATTATGCTTTGTAACCACCTGCCAAACTAAAAAAGCAGTGAGATAGGCCCTGATTCTGCTAAGAGGTGGAAGTCTTTAAGGGGAAGCGAAAAATAAGGTAGGGTGTACGTTTCAAATGTGGTTTTAGTCGCTCTGTGCTTGCTCTGTGTCTGGATGTGTTTAGTCCTTACTAAGTGTACCTGTTTCAGTTGAGCTTAATTATGGAAGTGATTTCAGGCTGAACTAAGAAGATATTTCTAGTTACAAAATGTTCATATAACTATTCTGGGCTGTCATTCCTTTCTGTACCTGTACACTAAATTAGGACTGTGAGCAGTCAGTGGGAATATTCTCTGCATCAGACCCTAAACCGATTTTTAAAATGATAACCTTCCGTAGTTACTCACTGTTCTAAACGCCTCAAGTGACAAAGCATTTGGTTCTTAGAAATATTTCACTTTGTGTATCTTTGAGTGATTTTATTAGTGTTTATGAGTGCTTAAAAGAAATGCTGATGGTAGTTTAAGAAAGAACATGGCCTTAAAGTAACACTTATTTTCTTCTTTTCAGTTATAGAGAGATCTTTTTCACTGCACAGAACACACTCTCTAAAGGATATGGAGAATATTTTTCAACTGGTGCGCAATGTTATCCCTCCTCTAACAGGGAAAAGACATAAAGGTCAAGATGGACGTATAGGCATTGTTGGAGGATGTCAAGAGTAAGTGAAAGAGAAATTTGATTTCTGTTTCTGAGGGAGTTTGAGGATGTCATGAATACCTGTAGAAGCCATTCAAACTTGTCTTCCATTTAAAACATGAATATTTCCCAGAGAGGTTTACTAGTCCATCATGGTTACGAAAGAGCATGTTTCCCTGCAGTTGTGTTCCCAAATTTTGGTAGTGAATGTGGTCAAAACTTGGAACGCTGTTTGTGTCTGTGCTTACTTTCTCTTGTCTTTTTTGACCACCAAACTCTCTCTACCTTCAGCATTAGTCTTTTTCTATTGCATGATGAAGTTGCAGAGTAAGTAGAATAGAGTAAGACAGTGGCACATCTGATTTTTTTTTTTTTTGATATATATATATTGGTATTTTGGAAACTGGGTCTCTTAAATCAGGAATCGAGTATTTTCTTACTGTGAGCTTTTTATTTTGATAAATTGTGGTGGTTACTAGATTCTGTCAATACCTTAGTTTATGTTCTGGAGTAATAAAAATAGCATGTTCCAGGGAAAAAAAGAGATAAAACATAAATCAGTTAAATGTTGTACTGACCTAGAAATAAAACAGGCTCTATGCTTTTCTTGGCCATGTTCAGTAATTAGCACAATACTTTGAATGAGCCACTACACCTTCCTGTTTTTCATTTTCCCCTTTTGAAATAGGGACAGTATCTTTCTCCTCTAAAAGAGATCTGCTGTTGGACATCTGCCATTAATAAACGTTCTATAAAGAGCAAAAAGGTGCTGTCTTATAGCTGGTTTGATTAACCAGGAGTTAGTTGTCCTGTTGGTCTAACAGGCTTAGGCTCTTACCTCTTGGCAGAAGGAGGCACCTCTGTAGGGTGGTTCTGTCCATATCTCCCTCTTCAGTCTTCATAAAGAGAATTTAGGGCAACTGGAATCACAGTTCAGGCACTTCAGTTAAGCATCTAAAACCAGATGGGGTTGATCCAGGTCACAGATCCCAGATTTGGCTTGCAAACAGTGCTCGACTCTTGCTGTGTCTTGTTTGTCTCTCAACTTTGAAGTTGGTTGTCTGAGAAGAGTTTGCTTTTTTATGGCGTGATCTTTATAAATATTTCTATGAAAGGATCGGGTGGCTAAGGTGAAATCCCGAACCTTTGAAATCAAAGCGAGGTTTGAGATTGGCTTCAGTACCTGTCCTTTACAACAAACATCAGAAAGCTTTTTTAAAAATTTGCACTTGAACTTGGGACTTCATTATGGCAGGCTGATTTTCAGATTATCTAATCTCATGACTGTGTTTCCTAACCTAAATTGTATTTCATTCCAGATACACTGGAGCACCATATTTTGCTGCAATTACAGCTCTCAAAGTGGTACGTGTTCTTCTATACTGATCCGAAATGAACTTTTCGTCATTTATGTTGGCTAAGTGCCATTTTTTCAAAGCATTCATTCTGTGCTGCACATGAAATTTGAGTTCTGAAAAGTCTTCTGTTTAATAAAGAAAATCCTTAGTCCTGGATTTGTAGAAATACTTTGTAAATATGTGTCATTTGCTATGTTTTCTGTAAATATTTTCTCTGTATCAGGGGAGGTTAGACATGTGTCACAAATTTGAAAATTTCAGAGGGACAACTGTTTTATTAGAGACTTGGATAAGAAATTTCAAAACTTGGTGAAATATTTTCACCAAAAGTGAACAATAAAATAACTTCAGATTAAAAACTCAGTTTGGAGTTTTCAGCGCTGCAGTCAGTTCTTCAGAAAATCTTTCTGGGCCTGATGAGTGTGTTGAATGAAGTAACTTTCTTTCAAAACTTACAGCTTTAGGCTAGTAAAATTCTTATGTGCTGTAAGTCTGAAGATTGTTGGTTGAATTTAATTTTTAATACCATATTTTATTTACATCATAATCTTTAGCAGAAGTATTTTCTAAGCTTTTTTTTTTTCCCTAGAAGTGTGAACTTCCTTATTTTAGTGACATATTAAATGTATTTTTAGCCAGTTACTGCAGACTACATAAATACAGTGGTGATTATTCAGATGTGAAGAAATCATGTTTACATGTTACATGTACTTGTCAGTACTCTATGTAGTGTGTCAGTACTTTCAGTTCATTGTGTACGTTTTTCTTTTTGAAGAACTCATTTGTTTCAATGAGCAGGTAACCAATCCAGGTGTTTACACGCACACTCTCCCACACTCGGCCACGCAGGATGCAGACCCTCAAGGATTTAAAACTGAAATATTATTTAATGGTCTTATATAAGATATTAAAGCCACTCAGCTTTCTGTTCACTGTGTGCAAATACAGTAGCATATTGGGAGGTCCCGTATTGAAGTCACTTGGTCTCACATCATTACACCTGCACATAAAGAGTCATAGGATCAAATCTCTGCATTGGTTAGTAGCTTGAACTGTTGAATGTAGTGTAGTACTGCAGAGGAGACACTTTCTTAACCATGGGAAATTTCAGTATGTGAGACAGAAGATCAGGCTTTCTGGTCACTGCTTACATGATTTTATGTGTATGTCTGATTTTTTTTGAGTTGATAACAGAAGCTTGAGGCTAAACTTTGTAAGTATAGTATTACTTTTCTAATGTAGCTTGTCTCTTGTTCAGCTGTGTTCTTTTGCTTTTCTTCTTATTGTACATGTGACATTTTAGTCTTTGCTCATCTGCAAATGAGAAGACGTTACTCAAGTGAGTAAAGGTTCAAGATGTGTGTTTTTAGTCATCGGTGAGAAACTGAAAAAAATTACATTGGAAGTTAGATACAAAAAAATTTCTCCAAAATGTTGCATGGTAGTCTAAGCCAAAATAGAAAAAACAAGAAAGTCTGCTTTAGTACTGGGAAGTAAGAATTCAGGTGAATTATTCGCTGACTAAACTTTGTAATGATAAAGTTATTATTAAGGATAAATTTGATAATTCTGTTTGCAAATTTTCTTTTTTAGGGTGCAGATTTATCCCATGTGTTTTGTACCAAAGATGCAGCAACAGTAATCAAATCATATAGTCCAGAGCTGATTGTTCATCCAGTTCTGTAAGTGACTTATCTTTTGTTTAAACGAGCAAGTCAGGATTACTCAGTTTGAACATTTCAGTCTGACAGTTGATTAGTTTGCGTTATTTCTTTTTCTGAGTTACAGGATGGGTGAGCTGGAGATTGCAAAAGCTCCAGGGTTTGTCTTTTCATTACAAAAAGTTAGATGTTTAATGTAGAACAATCCATTGTGATTTTTTTTTTCTTTACTATCAAAGTAAAATTTTTTTTAAAAGCGAAGATCTTGCCTTCCGCTACTTGCTGACATGTGTTCTGTGATTGTAATGCATTTAACTGTGAACAGTAGCAAAATCCAGAACTAAGAATCTCTACAAGTCAGCATTTTAGAATCTGCATTTGAAAGGCAAAGAGTATGTTCTCTTGCTTCTTCAGTCCTAATAGTATTTAACAGTAGCATATCTTTTTTCCCCTCTTGCTACTGCGTCATTTACGCAAAATTACTGGGCAAGAGAGATGCTGATTCTCGTTTTTCTTTCTAAGTTATGTTGCATTAGATACACACCTATTCCTGGGAATAAATGGGTGCTCTGAAATACAGGGTTTACTAACAAGAAGATGAAAAGTTTAATAAGCAACTGTCCTAATTGGGAAAATCAGTGTGTGCTTCCCTGAATTTGTGTTCTGAAATATGTTACTGACTGATAAACTTCTAGAGATAAATTGTTTCGATTAGATGTTATGATGGTTTACAATGAGCACTGCAAATGAGAGTTGAGATGTGTGCCTTAGGTATATGTCCCTGAGCTTAGCTTGCACCAGTGCGTGTCAGAGTCTCTTGGTGTACGTGGCAAGGCTGTGATTAAGCTAGAAAAAGCATAATTTAAAGTGGTGTTTGTCAGATAGTGCTGTCAGGAAGGATTTATGACAGTAGAAATATTTTGGTGCCTGAGAAGAAGACTATGATTTCCCTTATGGGGTTGCCTGTGGTTAGAAGCTATAAGTTTATTACACTCTAAAGGTGGGTTTCATTCCTGTTAGTGTAGAGAGAGGTGCGTGCGAAGAAGTCAGTTAGACAGATATCAAGGGTTGTGGGGTTTTGTGGTTGTTGTGTTGTTTTGTTTTGTTTTCCCCAAAGATAGAAGAAACCCATGCCTTTTTGGATTTTAGACAGGGAAAAAATGATGTCTGAAAGCAAGGGGAAGATACAAGGGTAAGGTTTTTACCAGTCCAACTGCATTGGCCTCTAGAATCCAAATGGCAGATACTAAATTGATAGTCTGTCTGATATCTTGTGATAACAAATAAGATGGAGAATCTTAATGGCAGTATTAGCTTGTAACTTAGGTTGTCTTGATGGATGCCACTCGGGATACAGCATGTAGTTGTCTTGTGTGGGAAGGAGTTGACTGTGCCTTGGGAGAAGCATTTTTTCGTATACACAGGGTTCTTGATGTCTGTGATGATGGAAAAGGTTAATAGGAGAAACAGAAGAAGCATAGAGAAAAAGGGAGGTGACAATGTGTAAACAGTAAAATTTCTGTTCGTGGAGGACCAGATTGTGCCCACTAAATAAGGGTATTTTTTTTTTACACACAGATTCTCAGTGTCTTCTGTGGAGTTCAGATCTCAGTGAAAACTCTGATCTTCCTGTCCACAAAGAGAACTTTTGATTTTAAACTTCAGCTCTGTCTATGAATTACTCCAGATGTACAAAGTACAGTGAATCTAGAAATTTTCATATCCATATAAAGTCTGAAACTCAAATGTTTAATACTTTTATTACAACTCTGATTAATTTCGCCCAGACAGCTGGCTAATTGCATGAAGCAATGGATCTGTAAATACTGTTTATATGACCTTCAAAATGGAAAAAAAGGCAAATATCAGATTGTTCAGTTTTTGTTTGTTAAATTTTCTTATATCTTTATCTTTTCTTTTCTGCTTCATTTGAGCAAAAGAGAAAACAGTCTTTTCTGGTTAGAAAGGAAGAAATCTTGACTGACTCTATTGAGCCCAGGTTTTATTCAGATTTACACAAACAGCCTATTTTTCTCGTAAGGTCCTTTGTCTTCAGTGTCACACTTTTCATATGATCTTTTATATGTTGTGGAGCCGTTCAAGTTCTGCAGGCACGGCCGACCGCTCTTGATTCAGAGCCTGATCTCTTAAACAGTCTTTGTACTTTCTCCCGGGCCGCACTTCATGCATGGAAGGACCTCTGGGTAAAACCCACCGAGCAGCTACGTCATTGTTTTCTTTTGTGTCTCTCCTTAAAACTTTGCTTTGTTATGATTTCTCCATGACCCTCCAGAGTAACTAGGTAGCTGTTGTACCACTCTCTTATTATGCTAATGGTAATTATGGCCCCACGTACTCCTCAATTCACTGTTTGAACAGCTTGGCATTTCGCCAGGGTTCAGCTGCCATTTTGTACTACCAGGAGTCTGACATTTTAT